ATTCACAGGAGTCTCGGAAGCCAGACACAGCCCAGTAGGCAGCTGTGACAATAGTAACTGGATGAAGACTTTCCTACCTTGTGGAAATTGAGCCTGGCAGTGGTAAGGAACCAGCTGTGGGGGCTGAAATTCCACCCACTGCTCACCAACACATGACTTCACCATTAAAGGGCTCCTTTTCATCATCTTTAGGATGTCATAGAGCCTGTTGTAGGGGGCCTGTGAACAGGATACATGCAAAGCAGTTAGCAGGATGCTGGACACATAGTGATCAGAAAATGTTACTTACTGGGATCATTAGCGTATGCATTTGTATAACATTTTGAGTGGTACAACTCTCCTTGCAAATTTATACTTTTTGGTTGTTTATTTGACAGGTAAAGAAGCAGGTTTAGCGAGGAAGAAACAACTTGTCCAAGGTCATAGAGCCAGAAAGCAGGTGACTAAGCCAGGAGGGTCTGTGGCTATGTGGCTGCAGATCTGCGTCACACTGCTGCTTTCTGGCCCTTTGCTTCTGGTGAAGAGTGTTTTTTTCCAGAGACCCAGAGACAAGGTCCTGTGCCTCTTAGGCTCATGAAGGGCTGGGCTTGCTCAGTCCAGACCCTGGCAGCTCTCTGGGGGTGCAGGTATCGAGTGGGGCTTCTGGGGGTGGTAGCTGGCTGACTGGTAAGCACGCAGAATCTGTGCTGTCTCTTCTCAACTGGGGAGCGCTTGCTGCCTCAGGGGAAGCTGAGCCTTGAAGAGGGAGAGTAATCCATGCCCGCAACCATGGCTGTCCTTAAAGCCAGGCTGGCAGCTGGGCACTTGGGTTCAGCAGAAGGAATGACAGATGATGATTTTTGCCATTTATGTCATTTTAAAATTAGTTTTTCTTAATATAAAACAGCACAAGTTTATTACAGAAAAATAAGAAAACAGGTATTTCTACCCATTCAGAGGTCTATACCAAGATGTTAGCAGTGTTGTTCCTGGGGTTTCTGTGCATGTGCACAAGTAAGATCCAGTTGCAAGTCCAGTTTGATGGCATGCTTATTCCATCATTCTATGTGGCTGGTCTTGCATCTACTATATGTTTTAAAATGGCATCATTTGAAGCCGTGTAGAATAAAGGCTAAGAGGTTTGGGTCTGGCCTCAGATGGCCTGGAATTGGATCCTAGCTACTGGCCATGTGATCTTGGACAAATGATTCTTTTGACTCTTGATTTTCTCATCGGTGAGATGGGGGTGATAGTGGTACTTCCAGCATAGAGAGAAAGAAAAGAAATGGCTCATGCCAAGTGTTTAATATGATCTCCAGCAGTAGTAAGCACGTATAAGTGCTGACTGTTGTTATTGTTATTTTGGATGCTTAGTACCCTATCATGTGCCATGATTAATATAACTAATCACTTCCTGCTGGAGACTTACTCTTACCAGCAGTGCTGTGTAACAAATATTCTTTTATTTGTTATGTGTATGAGAGTTTGCATGCATGTATGTATGTATACCACATGCCTGCCTAGTGCCAGTGGAGGTCAAAGACAGCATCAGATCCCCTGGAATTAGAGTTTCAGAGGGTTATGAACTACCACGCGGAATGTGGGAACCCAGCCCAGGTCCTGTGTAAGAGTAGTAAGCACTCTCGTCTTTTCAGCACTGACAAATAGTCTCTCTCTCTCTCTCTCTCTCTCTCTCTCTCTCTCTCTTTAGGCAGGGTCTCACTATGTAGCCCTGGCTGGCCTCAAACTCACAGAGCTCTACCTGCCTCTGCCTCCAGAGTACTGGGATTTTTAAAAAAAATTTTATTTTTATTTTATGTGTATGAGTGTATTGCCTGCATGTATGTGAGTGTACCCGTGTTGTGCAATGCCTCAGATTTTTAATATTTTATTTATTACAGAGTACTGGGATTAAAAGTGTGTACTAATTAGACAATAAATATTCTTGTAATTCAAGTTGGTGGTATCTCTTCCAAAATTAGGTCAGATCTCACAAACAGAATCAAGGGGCCATGGGACATACCTAGTATAAGGTTTTAATACACCCTCTCCAAAAAAGAATCCATTTTAATTAATTACCACACTCAGAGCATGTAAAATATTAATTTTACTACTGAAAATTTAGTGCTAACATATTGGTCTTGATATATAACATACCGATTTATTATTAAGAGGGTTTGAAGGCACTAGAGATCATGGGCACTGAGCTTTTAAATATTTTCATTACATTTGTGTGTGTGTGTGTGTGTGTGTGTGTGTGTGTGTGTGTGCACATAAAAGCCAGGGCATGCACGTGGAAGCCAGAGGACAACCTATGGGATTTGGTTCCTTCTTCTATCATGTGAGTCCTAGGGATCAAACTCAAGTCACCAGGTTTGGCCAAAAGTGCCCTTACCTACTGAACCATCTTGTCTGCCAAACAATGAACTCTTATAGGTCCAAAGTTCTCCAGCTTCCTAGGCCAGACTAGAGGTCAGATGTGCCAGCTTTTTGTTCCCAGTGGTACTTTTCAGTCTATGTTTGCTGATCTTTGGTTTGCAAAATGTACACACTGTGTCATCTCTGTATGAGCCTTCTAGTGGCCAGGGCAAAGGAAAAGCTAATACCCTGCTGTCACTGGGTCCATGGGTGACACTGACCACTGGGTAAAGAGGGGACTTGACTCCAGAGAGGCCTTCAGGGTACGGACTGTCTACCAAGCTGGGAGACTTGGAGTAAGGTGTGGAGGCAGTATTGGGAGGATTAGGGGAGACAGTTCTTTGCATGGTAGTACTGCATGCCTCAAGGAGGAGTCATAGTAAAGGGCAACACACACACTTGCCACCTCAAGGGTGGCCTGTTGTGTGTGCATGCATGCACATGACCACAGCCAGAGGTCTGCTGGGTTCTACAAGAAGAGTAGACACATGTGGGGACGGGAGAGGGAAAGAAGAGCAGGACCCATCGAGAGAGGGAGTAGAAACTTGGGTGAATCCTTGAGGATTTGTTTATCTGTTTCTTCTTACACTCACTGAATATCTGCTGGTGGCCAGGCTCTGTGCAAGGCACTGGAGGCTTTCAGTGAGCAGAGGCACACACACCTCTTCCTATGATAGGGAAGATGGGCATTAACCACAATGGTGGGATGAGTGTGGAAGTTCCTTAGAGTTGGACACAATAAAGAAGCTGATACCATGAGCCTTTTCAGATGATCTGGCTTGGCAGAGGTAGGGATGGCTTCCTGGACAAAGTGACCACTGGGTTGGCTATGAAAGATGAGAAGGAGTTAACCAGGTGGCCAAGGGAGAGAGGCCACCCCTGCCCTTTTCAGATCTTGCTGCTTACATGACAATCTCCTGTCGGGGGGTACCCTAGCTCCAAGCTATCCCTCTGGCTCCTGCTCTCACTCAGAAGGCAAGTCCCCAGCAGGGCCCAACCCTGGTGGCCAGTACCTGTTATCCTCCCATGGGCTGTACTCTGGTCAGAACCCACCCTTACCAGAGGATCTTGCCCTTTGATTTCTAGGCATAGAATATTTCACACACTCAATTTCTATCACTGTTTGCAATGAGAAAAGCACGCTGCTTTCAGCATGCATGCCCACATGTGTACACTAGCTTATACTATCTTGGGTGGAAGGCAAGGAAGGGTCCTGAGGGATTAAGGTCAGGTGCCTAGGTCACAAGAGGAGCACATAGCTCAGTGAGCTTGTTTACATTATAAGTAGTTACATTTTGGTTGCAAAATTAGATAAAAGTCTTTAGGACAGATTATGTCCATATTGTAAAAGTCATTCCTGCAGCAATGTTCAAAACAGGGACTGGTCAAATATCTAAGCCTAAGTGGTGGGGTCATCAATTGGTATGATATTTTGGGAAATCATTTATAGCCTGTATTCAGAGGGTTCAAAGTCAACCGTTTCACCTTATTCATTTTGAAAAATCTATTTAAAAATCTGCAACAGAGAAATATAACCTTCAAAGGTATTTCTTGTTATGTCTGCATGTACAACTATGGGGGATTAAGAAGACACTGAAAGAGCTGAGTGAAGTACTATGCTGGCCTGAAGATTACAGTGACTGGGCATGCTGGGTGGTCATGCAAGAAGCAGAAGTGCAGGTTCGTATTAACAGTGATGACAGTTATGTCAAACAGCAATGTATGTGTGAAGGGTGCCAAAGAGAAGGGCATAAACACTACTCTGAGAAGCAAAAGGCTGGGTATCACTGACCGGGTTCTCTCTTTGCTTTTCAATTTATGAGAACGATTTTATCATAGAAACTCAGAGCACTGTATTCAGTGAGGCCACTTAGCAAATCCTGGTCATGGGAGACAGACACGTGAGCCCGTAGCTGACACTGCAGGAGAGGCAAATAGAGTCCTTGGTAGATCACAGTGTGCTCTGAGCCCAGGCCTTGTCTCCAGAGCTGTTCCCTTTGGCACAGCCCACCCAGTAGGGCGATATCCTGCCTCATCCTGACTTG